AAACATAAAAATGGACAGACGAACAGAAGTGCCTTGGCCCCACACTATGTGGTGGGAACATAAAAAATAGTGGACCATTTTGAACTGTCAGTTGCTAGAAAAAGATTTACATAATAAATCAAAATATTGCAAAACAAAACAAGGCATTAACATACAAAATGTCACCACCATTTGTAACAAACGCCAACCCCCAACCGATGTCACAAAAAATGGAGACCATAATATATGTCACCACTTTTTGGTGGTGACATAATCATTTTGTTAAAAGTGTTATATATTATATGATTCATGGAAAAAAAGCTATCTATCTAAGTATGGAATGTCATTCAAAATACATATTGTAATTATTATGGAGGCTCAAATAGAAAAGCATATATTTTGGCCTACCCTGTATAACCTTTCTGATATCATGGTTTTGCTTAAGGTAGTTATATACCTGGAGGCCTTAAAACTATTCTAAAATGTTCATTCCATATGTATGTTTCATTATGAAGCAAGAAGAGTGGGTATCACTACATTTTTACATAGGCCTAGAAAACAATTTGATGCACCATGTTGGGAGAAGGAAGAAGGAACAGTAACAAATATTTAATTCTATTGAGGTGAATACCTGTGCATCTTCCATATGTGATATTCCACGAAGCCCAAAGCGCTAGTGGAATATTATCTTGTGAAAGTGTCACAGTGATATCTGTAAAATTAAAATTATACTGGACTAAGTCGTGACTCGTGATATATTCGAAATTCAACGAAAGTCACGTGACTTCCATCGAATATCACTTGTTATTTTTAGTCTTGCAGGACATGGACCAATCAGAGAGTGAGGAATATGACAGTGATATAATAATCTTCATTATTGCTCATCTGATACGCCAAAAATCAGTTATTTTTAGAACCATAAAATCATAGGCTACTTCGCAGTGCTCTTTAAAAATGACATTTTTAATTTTCAATTTATATCGCTGCTGCTATGCTTTAACATAGAGCCATCTTTCGCCAGTTAATAACTACCTTAAAAATGTATACAGGGTGCGCCAAAAAACAATACCCAAGTTTAAAGATGAATATTGTATGATATATGTTAAATCAGGCCATGCATTATACAGCATTTCAAAGATAAATCATTTTCTAACAATATGACACCATTCAAATTAAAAACCATTGTTTATTTGTGAAAAAGAGGCTAAAATTGACACCAGGGGTATCATGGGCGACTAAAAAATCATTCACTGCATATTTTCACATCATAGAAAATGGAGGGAAATTTGAATTAGGCACCTTCAAAAGAGGTACATTTTTTTGTCAATAAGCTGCAAAAGGCTAATAAGCCCATATAGAGCAGATATATAATTTAACAGTGACAGCATTTGAATAGAATAGAAACCAAAGATTATAATAGTATAATCTTTGGTTTTACAAAGTTGTATGATTTTTGATAAGTGTAAAAGTTGTTTTTTTCTAAAGCCATTGTAGGGAAAAATGAAGAAAAAATGTACAATCTTTTAATTTTAAGTATGACCTGAATCGATTGCAAACTTCATATTTGCACATTTGATGAGATAAACCATTTGTGTCATATTGTGAAATTATTAAGTTTGCAATTGATTCAAGTCATAGTGTATTTTTGGTATTTTTGTGATAATCAATTGGGATCTGCTGATATCCTCATGTTTAGTCAATGATGCACAGCCCCATATAAGTCAATACAACCTTACTGAACTAAATGGCCCCTATCTCAGCCAATGTGTGCCAAAGCACTTTAATACTTTTCAAAGAATTTTATGACATTCTATTCTTCATGCTACACCTAAGAATGATTCATTTTGACCATAGGGGTATTTGCCCAAAAACGCACCTCTTCCTTTGAATAAAATCTGTCAACAGGTATTTGAGTTATTTCCCAGACACACTAATGGATGGAACACTACCTGTATATCCCTGCGAACTTGGTTCGGTGGGATAATCAGAAATATGAAAGGCACTGTGAATACTAATAAATTGGCGAGTTCACGTGTTACTCTGTGTATTACTATTAAAAGCAATATCATTTATGATCAAGCTTACAAACTTTATATCCAATAAATAATTTAATACAATTTTGGATACTGTAAAACCACTATAAATGGATGACCAATTTGAGGTTTTCAAACCTAACTTTAATACCCCTATCCTATCTATGATTCACCTCTCATTTAGCTTGTGAATCACAATTTATCACAATTTAGTTTTATGGTGCTGACAGCATCCCAATATGGTATAAATGGTCACCACTATGTGGCGGGTTCTAATAAACTAGAAAGGGCAACTCTATGGAGTAGCAAATCCCAACGAACACTATATCTACTCTACGCTTGGTTAAATTGGCAGGTAAAAGATTAAAGAGACTCTATACAATAGGATAGCACAATCAAGACCCCATCTAGACCTTTTTGCATATTGGGTTTTACCACATATTTGCAACTTACTCTAAATTGCCTTTTATTATAATAAAGCTATATTATAGTATGATAAAGCTATACAGAAAGATCTAAAAATTAATGTAAATTTTTGTTTTCCTGTTTTCCATACATGACCTCCCATGGGGGTCAAAGTGAAAAACACAGAATATACAGTATGAACAATAAATATAGGGTAGACCAAAAAAATGTTAATTTAAAATGTAATAACTCATTCATTTTTAGCATGATTGGTCTCAACCTTTCTGAGATGACTAAGCATTGATGTAAGATTTGTATCACATACATATATATATAGTTTTTATGTACAAATCTGCATTTCTTAGAGGCTGCCAATCAAAACGTCATGTCCATTTTAGTAAATGATGGGTATGACGAAGCTCACTTTCACATAGCTTGACTTGTCAATAACCAAAACATGATTTTCTATGCTGCTGATAACCCTACACAGACACAAGATTAGTGATGAGAAAGTAAGTGTGATGTACAATACCATTTTGGTTCAAAGATGCCAAAGATATGAAACGGTGAATCCCGAAAGGTACCAGGACCTGAACATTCGTGAGTGTTTCCTACCTGCCTTCAGACGGAACAGATGGGTAAGAATGCAAAGTGTTGTCTTGCAGCAGGATGTACCACCTCCTCATTGCTCTAACAGCAGCCTAGAATATCTAGAGAGAGTAAGGACCCCAAACATATGGACACCATACTCTCCAGATGCCAATCCATGAGATTACTTTCTTTTGAGTACCCAATTGATAGGCATCACCAAAACCATCCTGACGCAACTGATAAGCTTAAGGTTAACATCACACATGAAATCAACCAATTACCACTGGACATCATTCAACGAGTTATTGCTAACTTCAATGAGTGTGTCCAAGTAATACTTGGCCAGCGTGGAGTATGGATGGAACCATAGAAAAGGACTTAGTGATTTGATTTGCAGCCACCAAAGAACGCAGAGACATACATGAAAACCACTTATGTTGAACAAAACTTACATCAATTCATAGTCATCTCAGAAAGACTGGGACCAATCATCCCAATAATGAAAGAGTTTGGTTTAAATTGAAGCTTTTTTCTGCCATTTTAAAAGTGGCAGCCATTTTGCCACCGAATAAGAAGAAAATCTATCCACCAGTATTGGAGGATCTCCAATACAGACAAACAGGATTGACTGACGGACTGACTGATGGATTGAAAGATGATGGAAGGAAGGCTTCACTATATCCCTAATGAACTCTGTTCATTGGGATAAAAAGGCAAGAAATTTGATATTGCAGGTTACCTTGCAAACAGTTAAGTATCAAGGCTTGATTAAATAAGGTTCATGAGATTCTACTTTCTCTAAAATATTTACATGAATCTTAAGGAAAATTCTCTGAAAATGAACTAAAATTGATTGAGACATTTAAGCTTGCTCAGTTTGTTCAACTTTAGCACCTTTGTTTACTGTGGGTGGAGGGGCTGCAGCTGATTCATCCTTTGGTTTCCCTCCCCTAAATGTGATGAATGTGTAGATTAGGCTGCCCGAAACACTGAAAATATAAATATAGCATTATGATCTTCAATGTCCACATTTCTGAGATACCATATTTGCCATAAGAAGCACCTAACTAGAGGTGTAACTCCCGAGTCCGTTACTCGAGTACAGCTCGTCAGAGCTGCCTAAACATTGCCTTGATTTGTCCTCTAGAAACTCGCAAGCTAGCTATAACTCGCGAGCTAGCTATAACTTTTGCCTATCTTGCAAGCATGTAAAATGAGATTGGGTCCCAGAGATCGTGCTACATTACTTCATAAGGAGATTAAATATACCAATGATCGCCGTATTTAGCGCCCGTCACCTAAAAAACACTCTCAAAGCTTCAACAAGTTCAACCAGAACAATGGCAACGCCAAATCCCATCAAACAGCCATGGATGGCATTTTTACAAAGTATATAGCAAAAATGGCAGGCATTTTTCAAAATGGCCGCCTTCTACCAAAAGTGTCATTAGACCATTTGCAATACTTATAGTATTCACATACCAAATATGAACAAAATCGCTCCACTACTTTTCGAGTTATAGTAAAATACGTTAAATTGGTAGCCATTTTGAAAAATGGCCGCCTTCTACCAAAAGTGTCATTAGACAGTGTGCCATCCTTATAGTATTCACATACCAAATATGAACAAAATCGCTTCACTACTTTTCGAGTTATAGTAAAATAGGTTAAAATGGCGGCCATTTTTCAAAATGGTGGCCATTTTTTAAAATGGCCACCTTCTACCAAAAAGTGTCTTTAGACAGTGTGCAATGTTTATAGTATTCACAAACCAAATATGAACAAAATCGCTCCATTACTTTTTGAGTTACAGCAAAAATCGTAAAATAATGAGTAAAGGCCGCCATTTTTCAAGATGGCTGCCATGTGCTTCTTTAATATCTACATTTCTAGCTTTATCAATGTCCTATATAATTTTTTTACATCTAAAACATATTGCTATTACAGTTTTACATATTGCACCTAAATTACTGTAAATTCGGCACTCAAATGGCCGCCATTTTGAAATGAGCGGCCATTTTGAAAATTGGCTTTCGAGCAGAACTTCTATCCCCATAGGGTATATGTGTACAAAATATGAACGAAATCGGGCCAACGGTATTTGAGTTATTGCCCGGACGGACGGACGGACCTACGTACGGATGGACGGACAGACGGACGGATGGACGGAGGCGTTCCCTATATCCCTCCGAACTTCGTTCGATGGGATAACAAATATCGAGGAATGACAAGTTACACAAAAAAATAGTACAGTGGGTACTGGGCTCACATGGTGTTGCTCAAAAGTAAAAGATGGATATAATTTTTTGCTGATTTTTTGCAACAAAATTATTTCAAGCCACTTGCCACTATTTGGACTGACTAAGAGACAGATGGACCAATCGATGTTAAGTAAAATGGTTGAAAATAAACAGATATAAGTTTTTGCCAATCATTTGTAACAAAATTATTTCATACAACTACTCTTTACAGTGACATGGCCTTTTGCAATGCAGGACACCTGAAATAATTTGTAAAGCTAGGAAATGGGCCAAAATTGAATTTTGCGAGACAAAAATGGCAACCATTTTGAAAATAGGCAAGCTTTTGAACCAAGAGTCACAGGGGAGTTTTTTGTATTGATGTTGAACAAAAATAACTTGAAACTGGAATCCATCGACAGAGGTTTTAAGGCAAATGGTCCAAAAGAGGATTTCGCGAGACAGATGGACAAATCAATGTTAACTAAAATGGCTGAAAAAAAACGGATATAATATTTTGCCGATTTTTTGTAACAAAATTATTTCATACAACTACTCTTTACATTGACATGGCTTTTTACAATGCAGGACAGCTGGAATTATTTGTAAAGCTAGGAAATGGGCCAAGAGTGAATTTCGCGAGACAAGAATGGCGACCATTTTGAAAATAGGCGAGCTTTTTAACCAAGAGCCATAGGAGAGTTTTTTGTATTGATGTTGAACAAAATTAACTTAAAACAGGAATCCTATCAACAGAGGGTTTAAGGCAAATGGTCCAAAAGTGGATTTTGCGAGATAGATGGACAAATCAATGTTAACTAAAATGGCTGAAAATAAAAAAATGGATATAATTTTTTGCTGATTTTTCGTAACAAAATTATTTCATACATCTACTCTTTACATTGACATGGATTTTTACAATGTAGGACCGTTGAAATTATTTGTAAAGCTAGGAAATGGGTCAAAAGTGAATTTCGCGAGACAAAAATGGTGGCCATTTTGAAAATAGGCGAGCTTTTGAACCAGGAGTCATAGGGGAGTTTTCTGTATTGATGTTGAATAGGAATAACTTAAAACAGGAATCCTATCGACAGAGGTTTTAAAACGTGCCACTATTGTTGACGGACGGACGGACGGACAGACGGACGGACGGACGGACAGACGGATGGACGGACGGACGGACAGACAGACAGACGGACAAGTGAGTGATTGCAAAAGCTAGCCGTGTGAGCTAAAAATCAGAAAAAGATAGACTATCGAAGGAACTCAAGCAGACGATAATATAGTAGTCACTAAAATTGAATAAAAATGGTCCCCTTATTCTCACGTGTAGACTTTTACATAAAAAGATCTATCATTAAATTAAGATCGTACGTCATAACTTTAGATCGATATCCAGCAGTCTTTAGTAGAAATAATGAAGATAATCTGGGAAAACCATTCATTAATTTTAGGGGCCCTTCTTGGTTTTCTAAAATATTGTTTGGTTAGATTCTTGGTTCATTTTAGCGATCTCTAGTCCTTACCGTATGCGGAGACGTCTATACCAGATCGTGTTTGATTGAAATATGAGATAACTGCAATGAATACCACACTTTCTTATGACCCCAACGTGTTAAACAGCTTTTAGATGTGACTACATCAGAAGAGAAACTTGCCGCTAGAAGTTACAGTAATTTTGTGTACCCGGGTTTACAATATGTAATGGACGAAATGAATTAACTCGAGTTTTACTCGAGTTTTGGAAACATTTTGCAAGTTGAACTCGAGTTGGATTTTTCTGGCGAGTTACACCTCTACACCTAACCCCTTTACTTTATTTCTTGATGTTATGACATACTCAGTAAATCAGTATGTAATCCATGATAAGAGTTCTTAAGTGTTCTTTAGTATGATTTTGGACTGAAATTGTTGGAAGTAATGTGGACGTTTTTTGCACCACCCTGTATATATAATGGATTTAAAGACACAGGATCTAGAGGTGTCAAGTATTAACCGGTGAACCGGTTAACCGCCGATAATGCCTTGACCGGTCTGAGTTTTTATGGGCGGTTAGTTGACCGTGTATAATTCTGTTATTTCCCGCGCTTATTTTGCATGCTAATCCGTTTGGTTTTATGGTGTCAGTTTCACGTAAGCTACTCATACATGTCATAAGTCCCATAACTCCTTACAAACATCCAATCAGCAACTTTAATCCCTGCCGCATTGCTTTCCCGCGCTTACTTTGCATTTTAATCTGTTTGTTTTCAAGCGTCAGTTTCATGTGAGCTACTCATACATGTGATAGGTCCGATAATTCCTTACAAACATCCAATCAGCAACTTTAATCCCTGCCACATTGCTTTCCCGCGCTTACTTACATAGAATAGCGTAAAGCTTGACGAACGTAAAAAATAAACGCCGATATATCATTTTTCCAATTTTTTTCAACTTTCAAGATCGAAGATGAAGATTTCATTTGAAATTATAAGTTCAAATTTCCCGCCGGTTAACCGACTTTAACCGGTAAAAACCCCCGGTTAACCGGTTAATGCTCAAGCGGTTAATTGACACCACTAACAGGATCTATGTGAATGTTGAGGTTTTGAATGGAATTTGGTAGTCACGACTTCTTTGAGTTATTGATGGTAGATTTCTATCACTGGTGATCCACTCGATTACGCTGGTTACCAAAACGAACCGTTTTGGTAACAAAATGTCGGAATATCGAAGGTACGATTTTTCTCGTTTCCTTATTTTACACGTTGTAGGCAGAATTCCCACGACATTTTTTAACACAAACTTCAAATGTTTAAGAAATTGTACATATTTGGGAACAAATAGTTCAGAAGACAACAGAATCGTCGATTTACTTCCTCACTTAAGTTACATAAACGGTTTCGGTTAAAAGTGCAGATCTTAAAGGGGACCACCACCATGGTCACATGATCAGTCGTGTGGAGGTAAGCTCCCAGTTGAAATAAAAGCACTGTCCTCCTTTGGTTTATGTGAAAAGTAGCTAATACCCTCATGTATTGGTCAGTTTGTGTGTCACACGACTAATCCACACCATATGCTTCATTCAACATATTTTATGCTATCAAGCTGCATATAAAAACACTACTTTGCAGTAAAAACATACTACTGGATGAACTAAGGTTAGGGTAATTAAATTAGTTGTTTCTCATTCTTGTCCGCGTGTGGCCCAATCCCTCCTCCAGCTTTTTTCTGCCATTTCTGAGAAAAAAACACCGTACCTCGTGCGCATCCATGGCGTGTGAAACACTTTTTTTAACTTTTTATGGATCAGGATAATTGACAATATCGTGGTACTGATATATGATCAAATATACCAGTAAATTCAACATATAAATTCAACATAAACTCAGTTTATTTCCTTCAAAATTAGTTATTTGATTTTACAGTTATTTTAAAGAAATAAATCATCCCGTCCCTCATCAGCATTTTAGATAGACAAAAAAGGTAATATAAAAACTGTCATTCCCATATCAATTTTGAAAAATAGAAGAAAGAGAAACAACTAATTTAATTACCCTGGCCTAACATAAAATACAAAGCCACTAGCTAGCTCATACAGTATACTTACCCCTTGCAAATTGTAATTTATTGAATTCACAGTAAACCCATCAATTTAAAAAAAAAAAAGAATATTGTTCTCATGGATCTATTATTCATGCTAAACTAACTATGAAAATATAAATATGAAATAATATGTTAGCTTGAAGTCATATCATGGGCTTTCAACTAGAAAGTGTTGAAAGCCCATGGTCATATATAAGATGAAAATATATGTTCATGCATTTGCATTTTTCCAAAGGGAATATTCCCATGTAAGTAAATACCGGTGCAATATATAATTTATATGTATATCTATGTCATCTGTCTATACATGCGCGTATATATAGTGATACATTTGAACAAGATGGTTCTGGAAAGAAATTAGCTTGGCAGATTTGCTAAAAAGCCACATACACCACAAAAGCAAGACCAATTTGAAAGTAAGTTCATTATTCTCAAGGGTACACTTCAAGTGAAAGCTACATTGCTACAGGGTGGCCTATCATTCTGAGATAAATGTATTATCCAACGATTGTGATTTTCGAAGCTAAAATATGATATCTTGAGCAGATGGAAATACATTCCCATGAGATATGTATATATAGTCAAAAGTGATAACTATTTATTTAGTGTAATGAAACATATCCTTCGCTAACTGCTTTTGTTTGAGATAATTATCATGAAATATTTTTAAATTAATTTTATGTGTGTCATTGATCCTAATCCACCCTGTAGTCTGGTGTTTGTAGAGCATTGCACCTCGTACAACTTATTCTCACAAATATCAAACCTCATTTACTAATTAATTTTTTGTGTGAATATGAAGAGTCCAAGCATTGATTTTTTTATGTTTACTGTATAGCTATATTTAGCCTTGATATCCATAATTTTTTAAAACAAAATCTCACCGTTAGATTTCGAGCTATTCATGTTTACTAATTTTTCTAATTGGAAAACAATGCAAATCTCATTTTTTCAAAGGAAAAAAATTGAAATTCTAAGACGGTGAAAAATCATTAAAAAATACACAGATTCAGAATCCGGCAAGCATTTTCCCTTATTCCTCTCCGTTAAGAAGTTTTGTAAGGTATTGGGTCCCTTTAACTGTTTTCGAAAAACTGTTTATGTAACTTAAGTGAGGGTGTAAATCGACGATTCTGTTGTCTCCTGAGCTATATTTTCGCAAAAATGTACATTTTCTAAAACATATGATACTGATGCACGTTCTGAGAAAAAACGTCGTGGGGATTCTCCCTACAACGCGTCTATGAAAAGTATGAAAATAGAAAAGTCTATGCATTTGTCCATGACTAATACACTACCCACTACACTACCTACTTTAAAATTTCTAATTTTACATTTTCTATATCTTTTACAAGTTATGAGCTACATGGGTGCTCTTTGTAATGGGGTATCATGGGAAATTTAATTTCAAAAGGGCCCTGGGCGCTTTTTATGGCAAATATGGTATGAAAAAAAGTCAACATTTCGTAAATACAGTGTTGCAGCAGTATGTAAACAAGCCATTAACATGCAAAAGGCTGTGACTGGAGACTGCACGAAACAAGGAAACAACCCTCATATTTTAAATCATGTGATCAATTCCCATCCAATGAGAAAGTGAGAGACATTCCAATGATATAATAAAAAGAAAATATAAGTTCATGGAACAGTTCATCTTGTCATCTTGTCAAATCTCCTTAATCGCAGAATTGAATTGAATTTTTTCACAGGCTAACGATATTACATGTAATTATTACAGTTTTTTAGCCAGAAAATACAACACATGCTTATATCGCTCTCTTTAATCTTTCAAACGTTCAGGAAGTGTAAAATTAAACAAATACATTGAACTTCCATAATAAAGGATGAAATATGCATGCAGACTGATAAAATGTAATGCATTGAACTTTCATAATAGATTACAAAAATTTTAAAGACTGACAATATAAGTATATTACATGAGTATTTACAGCCCAATGCATTACTTTTAATCTCTGAAAGTTCTGTTTAAAACAAGATTAAAGAAGAATGGATAAAAATGTATGTACATGTAATATTGTCAGTCTACTAAAATATTTCATGTCTTCTCTTAAAACTCCATACGTTACACTGAATATCCCAGTCCCTGAAGGCTTGATTTCAGTCTGGTATAAATGAAATTAAAGAAGATAATATAGGCTTTCTCATATTATGCTGTATATGTGGCGAGCTAATTCAAATCATAACAAAAAATCTGTTCTTGACAATGTCAGTACTAGTGAGAAAACAAAGGGTCTAGTGCACTTTCCATTGTGATCTCCCCATGAACAAAATAAATCATTTTTAGGTGTAACATAAAGAATACAATGTCACATAATATTTTTGAAAATATTTAAGCTTATGGACCCACATGGGCTGAGGTTGGGGTCATTAAGTTCAGCAAGGGTGTATTGACTTGACATTGGATGTGTTCTATTGACTTAACATGTGGATACCATCAGATTCCAATGGAGGCCATTGGTTTCTATTGATTTTCACAAAATACCTAAAATACACTATGACCTGAATCGATTGCAAATTGAATAATTTCAAAATATGACACAAATGGTATGTCACATCAGATGTGCAAATATAAAGTTTGCAATCGATTCAGGTCATACTTCAAATTAAAAGATTATACATTTTTCATCATTTTTTCCTACAAAATGGCTAAAGAAAAATGCTTCAAAAGCAACTTTTACACTTATGAAATCCCATTCAACTTCGTAAATCCAAAGATTATACTGTTATAATTCATTAATTAATAATATATTTTGATAAGATGTAGGAGTATGTATGATGCAAATGGATTTTGACAGACACAAAAATACTTCCTGGTTTGGCATCTCTACCCCTGTACACTTTATGATTGAATATTGGCCCTAATAAGTGGCCCATTCATCAATACAGTGCTGAATATAGGTCAACAAGATACTAGTGTACATATAAATGTAATAATAAAAGCAGTATATTTATTTTGAAAAATCAGATGAATTTCTTTTTGTTCATGGGGAGATAATAATGGCAGGTGCACTAGATCCTTTCGTCATCTGTTATTCATATTACAAGTGTGTTACATTTGATTTCTCGCTCCCTGAATTTTGATTAAATTCTGGTATAATGGAGAAAAAAGTATTATTTAGCTTAATTTTTCGGAGTGATTGGGTTTTCGGTGTGATTGGTTTCTCAGTATTGAGTTTTATAACATTGGGTTTCGGAGTATTGGGTTTTGGAGTATCAGGTTTGGGAGTAATGGGTTTTGGAATATTGGGTGGACCCAATTTTGTCAGCAAATAGTGTTGATTTTCTCCATATTCTAGTGAAAGTAACAAGAGAGAAGTAAACATGTAATAAAAAAAGTTTCATTACTCGCATTAACGGGGGCCTATAACATACAGGACGTAAAAAAAATTGGGAGAACACAAACTTAAAATAAATTTCTGTTTTTGGGATGTAAAATGATTGATTAAAAATTTGGCAGTCTTTCAGTAATTTATTATATTTTGATGTGTTTCAGCTTCAACTTTATTTTGAGTAAAAAAATAAGAATACTGAAAAACAAATATCTTAATGGGCAGTTTTATTGCAAATTGCATATGACATTTTCTCACTGTAAAACTGATTTAATACCTTCAAAATGAGTTCAATTACCAAGCAGAAGCTGTCTGATTGTGATTGTATGACATCAAAATGGTCTAATTTATGATATGAATCAGAGAATATTTTGAAATTAAAATTATAGTGATACACCATATTACCAAACGGTAGAGAAATTAATACTAAAAATGTTCTCATTTTTTTCGTGCTATAATTTAGAGCAAACAGCAGGTATAAAGATCACTCACAGTATAATAATAATTTTTACTATAAAATGGCTACAATACATGAGTGAATTGAGTTGCAAGAGCATATTTCAATCATAGGACACAGCTGGCAACAATTTGAAAACACAAACAAATCATACAATTTGGGCAGACTTTGATTCATCAAGCAGGGAACACCCTGAACCACCCTTGGCGACGGGTTTGTGTTATAAAGGGATGTATACAGATTGTCTTATTGCACTTATTTTATTGTTGAACTTGAAAATAGCCCATTATAAGCTTAAATAAGAGGACACACTTTTTTATTTGTTTTCCTTCGTTGGGACACACATTCTTCTGAGCCTAATGCAAGATCTGATTAGATGATGGAATTGAGGGGGTCAACCATAGACATTTAAATAAACTTCTAGACACCATCCCCTTATGTGTTAAAACATTTATATTAGAACATATTGTTAGATTGATTACCTTATGTTTAAGCCAATGAAGTTTATCCAGCTAAATATATAGTCACCTCCTATGACCATACCTATGTAGGTAACAAGTAGATTCTGAAAATAAAATAAGAAATTGAATGGAAAACTGTTGTAGCAAATCCCACCTAGCTAGAAACAATATTTTATTACATCAACCATCACTTTGAACATAGGATTAAAGAAAAAGGTTATATTGCCTCCATTTGTTGGCCATTTTGAATTCATGATAGTTCTTGAGTAGAGCCATATGTCCCTAAGGCACCAGCATATAAAATTTGAACCAAAAATATGTCAACTGCTCTGTGACTTATCAAAGATTCCATTTTATGAAAAAAGGCAGGCAAAAATGGATTGTATGCAAAATCCTATGTTCCTTCAGTGGTCATCTCATCTTGCAGGGTCCTAATGTCAAGAGGGCATCAGCAAATAAAATTTGAAGCGAATCCATTGAGTTAACATTTTTATGAAAAATGGTGGCCATTTTGATTTCAGTCAACATCATGAAAATAACTTCTCCAGCAGATGCCTATTTACTAAGAGCATCAGCATATAAAATTTGAATCAAACCCCTTCACTGGTATTTGAGCTATCAAAAATTAATTTTTTAATGAAAAATGGCATCCATTTTTATTTAATACAGTAGCCATCTTGAAAATTCATTCTTGAGCAGAGCTCTTTGTCCCTAGTATAAGGCATCATCATAAGGACACAAACATGTACAACATGTTCTCACCAATGGGTGACCTTTATACTGCAAATCTTTCATCCTGCATGCCAAACACTAATCAGTTGAAAGGACAAGATTTTATGACAAAAATCCAATGTTGCTTTGATATTTCAGTTATCGTCTGGACAAACAGACGGATGAGCAGAGGGAGGGATGGCTTCTCTACATGTATATCCCCTCAAACTAGTTCGGTGCTAAATTTCAACATTAGGGAAACAAGTAACCCTAAAGATCCAATAAGTTCAGAACCAAAAATTGCAATCAAGATCACAATCTACCTGAAGAAGATTGTTGGAGTTTCTCAGCTATATTCCTACTTCAAAGGAAAGACACTGACAAACATCCCATCCAGCTCAGAAATGCAACAAGGGAAACAGGGATTGGTTGTAGAATCCAGCTCTGAGTAGCGGCATAGAATTTATCTATTTAAGATATAGGGCAGACTTACTTTTAAGACTCCAACTATGGTAGTAGTTAAAGCTGAATTCAACTGTGTGCATACAACAATGGAATACATCAGAACAAATCCCATCATACAAGAAGCCAGGAATTGTAGCAGGAAAAGAGTATTGCCCCATTGTGCATAGTCTATTGCCTTAAACATAACATAATATCAGTGTCAAAATTAATTAAGTTCAAGTAAAGTGTAATTGTAGTATATATGTTTGATATAAGCATAGACTATGAGAGGCCTGGTGCCAATTAGTTTTGATCTTTGCCATCTGATATTTCAGCATACAAAATATACTTCAACACTTTTGTAATTCAACTTGATCGGGAATGCTTTTCCTTTAAGGTCAGCTAGGTGTTTGTGACATAGAGGTTCTATTCTTGATGAGTTTTGATAATTCTTCTTTATTGAGTGCAGACGAGATAAAGAAACATTATCAAAGCGAGTCAAGAATGGACGATATTGCACAGGTTCGAGTACAAGAAAGTTTTTCTCATATGACTCTAAATTATGCCATATTTTCAACTTTTATGATAAAAATGAGTGAAAATAGCTTCAAATTAATGGAACTTCACCTTTCAATTGTTATGACGTCATAGCAATGTTGTAGAAAATACCTGGCTACGCGTGGCAACTAAGTTCGATTGTTATGACGTCACAACTTACTTTGTAGAATGAGCATGGATACTCATAGTAACGGTGTATCCGTTGTCATGTTGATGTTTTTAAACCTGTGATGTCATAAGTAAATCTCATCTTGCACGTGTGACTTTTTGGGATGAAAGATGGCAATTTCTCATATGACTAACAAAGATACAGCCATCTTTACCCCATGCAAGATATTGCCATCTTTCATCCTAAAAAGTCACACGTGCAAGATGAGATTTACTTGTGACATCACTGGTCTATAAACATCAACAACATGGCAACGGACAGACCATTGCTATGCATATCCATGCTAATTCTACAAAACTAAGTTATGACGTCATAACAATGGAGCTTTGTTGCCACGTGTATCTATGTATTTTCTTCAATACTGTTATGACGTCATAACAATTGAAAGATGAAGTTCAATTAATTTGAAGCTATTTTTCACTCAGTTTTATGATAAAATGGTGAAAATATGGCATAATACAGAGTCATATGAGAAAAACTTTCTTGTACTCGTACCTGTACCTGTGCAATATCGTCCATTCTTGACTCGCTTTGATAATGTTCATCAAGAATGGACGATCTTGCACAGGTACTCATATAAGAACCTCTATATCTTGCATGGGGTAAAGATGGCTGTATCTTTGTTAGTCATATGAGAAAGTAATTTCTCATATGACTAACAAAGATGCAGCCATCTTTACAATTTACAATGACAGAGTTTGTTGGAATGTTCAGTCCAGAATGTCTTTCCAAATTAGATTTTCTATTTTTGTAGAAGGTTTTCTGTTGCACCTACCTTGAAGAAATACATTCAAGGCAGAATGGATCCTTGACTATAATGGTAATTTCAATATCAGGCCTCCTTTTTGAAACTAAAATTTTTGCTATACTTTCATATTGTGTATCTTCCACACTTAGGACCCTCTCTTATTTCATGTTTGAATTATAAAATAGTGTCAATACTAAACAATAAAGGTAAAATCAGAGGGGGTCTGGTTTGTGGAAGTACCACAATCTGTCAATGAATGGAGAAGGACATTCACTGTTTACAACAAAAACACAATAGTGTGTCTTTCAATACAATAGGATTACTAACTATTTATGCATGAATGGCACATGAAATGAAGCTTAGTAGATTAGGACACATTGTAGTTCTTATATTGACAAGTAAAATTATATCTACAAGGTTCTGTGAAAATATGTCAAAATTACTCATTTGAAGAGTCAACATGAAATTTTCCACACTATTTTTGTGATTTGTTGAAAATGTACTTAATAAAGATTCAAATTATATAAAAATAATTCTGGAATTCCATTTTACCCTTTTCAATAATTCTTTCAATAAGTTCTTATAGGTACACTAATAGGTAGGGAACCTTTAGGTTTTTGGTATCAAGTAAGGGGAATAATCACCATAGTGATTTTTGGGAATGTTAAGACCTCTAGAGTAAGAAAATATGTGATAGCATTGCAACAGTTGTAGCTTAATGGGTGTTATCATCCATTTTTCAAAATGGCCACCAGTGTGTGAGTTACAATATAAAAGTAGGTATTCCTAAGCATACTGAGATACAAAAACTGTGATTTTAGGATTTGTGTTTGGGTTCTAGGGTTGGAGGATTTCATTTATGTCTAAATCGGAGTCATCAAATAATTAATTTTCATAGAAATCCAAGATGGCTGCTAAAATGGGTGCCAAAACGAATTTGTAATCATTGATTTAAACTAAAAAAACACATTTAAGAACAGTGAATTTGTAGCTGATGTCTACATTTTAAGGGTAAAGGATTTCATTTATGTCTACTTTGAGTCGTCAAATAATTACTTTTCACAGGAATCCAAAATGGCCGCCAAAATGAGTGCCAAAACAAATAGCCAACTTCTGATTTAAGCTAAAAACCATTTAAGAACAGTGGTTTTGGAGTCCATGTGTACATTTTAGGGGTCAAGGATTTCATTTATGTCTAAATCTTTGAGTCATTTAATAATCGCCTTTCATAGAAATCTAAGATGGCCACCAAAATGGGTGCCAAAACGATTATGTAACTTCTGATTTAAGCTAAAGAAACCACTTAAGAACAGTGATTTGGAGCCCATTCGTACATCTTAGTGGTCAATGATTTCACTTATGTCTAAATCGAAGTCATCAAATAATAACTTTTTAAAGAAATCCAAGATGGCCACCAAAATGGATGCCAAAACGAATATGTAAATATTGATTTTAAGATGCATTATGCTATAGGTTTCTCCCCCAGACAATCAATGATGTCCTATTGTTATTGCTCATATAATACCTCACATACCATGGATATATCTTGAGAATAACTTTTGGGTATATTATTGCCGAAATATCGGAAATAATCAACAGAACAACCAAACTCCAGAATTAAACAATCGAGGGGAATCCCCATTGAGTCACACAAGCGCCTTGAACCAGGGAGCCAATCAGGTTTATGATAAACAAATTCAACGACCAATCAGATAACAGGAGGACTTTCCCGGAATATTCAAACTTCAGATTGAATAAATTTCTTCGTAAATAATTCTATCGGCTAGCACAATCGCAAAATTGACACTGAAAGAGGGGGATTTTGGACCTCTTCTTTGGTAAATAGATGGGTATATAACTGGTGAAACTCAATATGCAAAAAAGTCCAGAGGGGTCTTGATTGTGCTATCCTATGGCATAGAGCCTCTTTAAGCTCAAAGAACAGTTGAGACCAGCGATTTTGGAGACCATGTTTATGTTTTAGGGGTCAATGATTTCATTTATGTCTAAATCCAAGTTATCAAACAATTACTTTATATAGAAATCAAAAATGGCCACCAAAATGGGTGCAAAAATAAATTAGTAACTATTGATTTAAGCGCAAAGAACAATTAAGAACAGTGATTTTGTAGACCATGTATATTTTGTAAGGGCCAAGGATTTCATTAGGTCTAAATCCAAGTTATCAAATAATAAATAATAAATCCAAGATGGCTACCAAAATGGGTGCCAAAACAAATATGTAACTATTGATTCAAGCTCAGAACAGTTCAGAACAGTGGTTTAATGGGGTAAGAATTTCTATTAGGTATATAACTAAGTCAACCAATAATTCCTTCATTTGGATATCAAGAAGGCTGTCAAAATGGTTGCAGAAGTAAATATGTAACTTTTGATCTTAGTGTTTGGTCCGCTCTCATTTGTACTGCCTTTTTAAGTTTTTCAGGTATGCGAGACTTCTTCCTATGCCTAGCCTTGCTGCATATATATATGCATATTAGTCATACACTATTGATTTTGATGATTTATTTCTAGATGATCTTTTTGTGCATAGGCACTGATACTAGCCCCCTTGCTTATGCTTTCGTCTGCTTTTTTCCGAGTCTCGATGCAGATCCTTTTCATGGCTTCCACACTTTCGATGATAGATAATTCTTGGAAGTTAAATGTCTTTCAGCTCTTTAGCAATATCAAGAACAAGAATAGGATCATGGCTGTTTCAATTAAAGTACTGTTCTTTGAGCTTAAATCAAAAGTTACATATTCATTTTGGCACCCATTTTGGTGGCCATCTTGGATTTCTATATAAAGTAATTGTTTGATGACTAAGATTTACAACATAAATGGAATCCTTGACTCCTAAAACCTAGACATGGTCTCCAAAATGACTGTTGTTAACTGTTCTTTGAGCTTGTATCAAAAGTTACATATTCGTTTTGGCATCCATTTTTGTTGCAATCATGGATTTCGATAAAAAGTGATTATTTGATGACTCAGATTTAGACATAAATCAAATCCTTGGCTCCTAAAACATAGACATGGGCTCCAAATTCACTGTTCTTAAGTGTTTTTGAGCTTAAATCAATACTAACATATTCATTTTGGCACCAATTTTGGTGGCCATCTTCACAGGCTGGTATCGAAAAAATTGTCCGCTGTGACGGAGCGTGCTATTTTGCATAGAAACACTAGGAAATCCACACAATTTATTTTTTTACTCATATGTTTTGCTATATCAAAGAAAATTACTGACTCCATGCAATGAATATATCATTTGCGGGTAACTTCAACTTCTGTTTGAAGTCCAACAACGCTAGGAGTAAAAGCTATTGAAAACGGCGTCGGAGTATCATACTCCAAAATGTACCATTTCTTTTATTTCTTTTTAATGGTACAATATAGAGACACGATAATATTTACATATGTTTTCAGCATAACTCTGAAGGTTTTAATGAGATCTTTATGTATTGGGTATTTTTAATTTTTTTTATAAAAAATAATGTTTAAATTTTTTGTCCGCTGTGACGGAGCAGTTTCAAATCTGAAATACATTAAGAATTTAGATTTATAATATATCTCTTTATAACTACACGTTAGAGGAGGGAGCGTATCAAATCTCTTTCGTAAAGTATTCTGAAAAATAAAACGGAATAAAAGTACACAATTCAAATTCTGAGATGTATATATGACCACTCTTTAAGCTTCTTTTCTCAGTTTGTACTGTAATCCAAGTTATGCATGGTAACTCATGAAAATGATAGTCAACTTTATTTCAGTATAGGGTATTTGCCTTTCGTTGTGCCTACTGTGGATCCATAACCTGACATGGTGATCTTTTATGGTAACTTATATTCAGTAATATTACGTGGTAAAAGGTTATACATCTGTCGGAATGCAGGATGTCTGTGCACTATTTCGAATAAATTCATATTATCCCTATTTCTGTTACGCGGTAAACACGATACCAAAATATGCCATATTCCGCAACGAATATGCCATATTCACTTGCGGTGTATGACAGATTCACCTGCGGTATATGGCATACACACTAACCAATGAGAACGTGATACGGAAGTATGCACGATTGAACGAACAAGTAAAACTTTATAAATTATTATAATGATTACTGAATCAACAGTACAGTTTATTGAATACATCAACGTATGCAGAAGTATCACTCACCAATCTCACGTAATAAACTTACCCAATCAATCCAGGATTGATATATTAGTACTCGACGCACTGACAGTATTGGTAATCCAGCGTAGTTTTACATTCAGAGTCGATTCTCACAACCAATCAAACCGAGTGTTTCTGTATCACGTTTTTCACCTGCGGAGTATGTCAAATTCACCTGTTGTATATGGCATATTCCGCAAGTGAGTATGACATATTCTGAAGGTGAGTATCGGGTATTCACTGAATTCAATGCATCACATATTCACTGCGGAATATCGCATACTCACCTGCGGAATATGCCATATACCGCAGGTGAGTATGGCATATTCACCCGTATCACAAATACCGCGCAACCATGAATGTATGCCATATTCCGCGTAACAATTTACACTACACGTGATATTCTAAGACGTCTTGGCGAAAACGTATTAGAAATATTATGTTGAGTTTATACCATGTTGATTCATGTTGATTTCAGTACAAACCTCCGAAAAATGCTAAGAGTGGTCGTTTTTATATCTCAGATTTACATTACCCCAGATCTCTCAGAGGCTACTTCTCATAATTTAGGAAAGTGATTTGTGACGTTTTCTCTCTTCTAAGGGTACTTTTAAAAGGTATAATTTGAATCTTAAATTCTTAACGTAGTTCACAGTTAAAACTGCTCCGTCACAGCTGACAAAAAATGTAAACATTATTTTTTATAAAAAATATTAAAAATACCCAATACATCAAGATATCATTAATACCTTCAGAGTTATGCTGAAAACATATGTAAATATCATCGTGTCACTATATTGTACCATTAAAAAGAAATAAAAGAAATGGTACATTTTGGAGTATGATACTCCGACGCCGTTTTCAATAGCTTTTACTCTTAGCATTGTTGGACTTCAAACAAAAGTTAAAGTTACCCGCAAATGATATATTCATTGCATGGAGTGAGAAACTTTCTTTGGTATAGCGAAACATATGAGTAAAAAAATAAATTGTGTGAGTTTCTTAGTGTTTCTCTGCAAAATAGCACGCTCCGTCACAGCGGACAAATTTTTCGATACCAGCCTGTGATCTTGGATTTCTAAAAAAAGTAATTATTTGATGAATCAGATTTAGACATAAATGAAATCCTTGATCCCTAAAATTTAAACATGGGCTCCAAAATCCCTGATCTTAAGTGTGTTTTTTTAGCTTAAATCAATAGTTATATATTCGTTTTGGCACCCATTTTGGCAGCCATCCTGGATTTCTATGAAAAGAAATTATTTAATGACTCAGATTTAGACATAAAAGAAATGCTTGACCCCTAAAACCTAGACATTGTCTCCAAATTCACTGTTCTTAAGTGTTTTGTGCTTAAATCAATACTAACATATTCATTTCGGCACCCATTTTGGTGGCCATCTTTGATTTCTATAAATAAAGTCATTATTTGATGACTCAGATTTAGACATAAATGAAATCCTTGACCCCTAAAATGTAGACATGGGCTCCAAAATCACTGTTCTCTAGTGTTTTTGAGCTTAAATCAATAGTTACACATTAGTTTTGACACTCATTTTGGTGGCCATCTTGGATTTCTATAAAAAGTAATTGTTTGATGACTTAGATGTAGGCATAAATGAAATCCTTGACTCCTAAAACCGTAACACAGGTCCTGAAATCACAGTTTTTGCATCTCAGTGTGCTTAGATATACCCACTCTTATATTGTAACATGTGCATCGGTGGCCATTTTGAAAAATAGGTGATAACACCCATTTAGCTACAACTGTTGCAATGCTATCACATATTTTCTTACTCTAGGGGTCTACACCGTCCCAAAAATCACTATGGTGATTATTCCCCTGATTTGATACCGACCAACCCCCAGGCTGATGGACTAGGACTTTTGACATTTTTACTATACAACCAGATATTATTGCTCACAGGGTGGGGAAATAGACCCACTTAAGGTTGCTCCAATTGGAAGGATCTGACAGCCCAATTATATTTTGTCAAAATCCCCAACCTTTCCTGCATGGAGTTCTCAGTCAAATGATGAAAAAATATATAAACACTTACTGATGGTTTATACCAAATAGCATGTATCATTTTAAAGTAGCCAAGTGACAACATGTCATTGTCATTTTAAGTCAAGAAGCATTACTGAACTGATGGATACAAGTCAATATCCCAGATGCGAGTAGAAATAATCTTGATTTACGTCATTAAAAATTCACAATTCAGTCAAACTGATGTCATATTTGGAATCTACATGTAAAATAACATTTAGAAATGTGGTTTTGAAAAGAGTTTATCAACTTTTAAAGTTTAATTTTCTTTGAAAATGTGACTTCTAGGTCGGGGAGATTCCTCATAGACCTCATGTTGTAAAACCACAAAAAGTGAAATATCTTTTCTTGTGTTGGACAGATAATATTTTCTTTTACTGGACATATTTTAATTTGTATGGCTATCAGATACATAAAGGTAATATGAAAAGTGAACCACTAAAACTGATGCATATTCAAGTTTAAGGGAATTTTGTAATACCCTACCATGTTAATTCCCCCGAATCAGCCACCTGGTGGCGTAACTGGTAACAAACTACTCGCATCTGAGTAATTAATCTTGATAATATAATGGAATTTCACTAAACTAAATGTAGACATCATAATAGATATCTAGCTGTACCTTTCATTTGAACTCACCTTTTGTAAATCTCCCGTATACCAGCATATAGTAAATGTTGGCAGGATCATGATCAGAGCATTGTAGTATAGCAGCCCATATTTACCTAATTCCTGAAAACAGTTGGGAAGTGTACCATTCAAATGATTAATAGCAATAAATTAATAAATAAGTAGCTCTACTCCTAAAGAGCTCCAAAATTGTTTTGCCAAACTCCAGATATGTCTGTGGCTTGCATACACACATAACTTACACCATTGGTGGAGTATTTAGAGAGTCAATAAGTGTTACATAATAAAAAGATCCATGAACCAAGTCCAATTCACAAGAAAATGAACAGTACCATGGGTACAGGGCTCACAGGTTGAAACTGAATTTTTGAGTAATCTAAATGGCTGCCATTTCTAAATGAGGCAAGCTTTTGAAATGTCACTTATGGGACCAATTGAAGACTTTATGTACAGGGTGTTTCATATGTATGCATCCCCCTTTAATACATGTAGCGTTGCCACCATTTCATGTTATATATCATTTTGTTAAGTTTCAGAATCCAGGGGTGTCACTGACAAAAAAATACGATGTACCAAAGATTGTGGGTAAGAGTCATTAAGGCGGCAATTTCTGGTGATTTTGAGGACAATTCAAAGGACAAATTCAGTTTCTGTATTGCACATTTCCAGCTATTGTCACCATGGCCGAGCTCAGTCCACATGTCTATGGCAGTTATGCACAAATATATATAGACAGGATTCATCTGGTGGCTTATAGGGAGGTCAGGGCCCATGGTACCACCTTTATCACTAAAAATTGGTAGCGACAAAGTGAACAGATCACCAGACTGGCTCAAAGATCCTTTCAAAACAGCTTGTAAATGACCCCCTACCCACATATTTTGGTGGATTGTATCTTTTTTCAGGAACACCCCTTAATTCTGAAACTTTCCAATCCTATGTAACTTTTTATAAATGAACAAAATGATATCTAACATGATAGGGTGGCAATGCTACACATATGAGTTTAGAGGGGGGTGCATACATATGAAACACCCTGTACATTAAAAAATTGAACCATTTAAATTGCAATGAAGGCTTCCACAAGAGCCACAATGTGTTGACAGATGGAAAGACAGACACAGACAACTGGGCGATTCCAATAGCTCATAAAACATGAGCTAAAAACACACATGAAATCATGACATTCAGGATGTGATTGATCTGTTACAACAAATGTAATTTCTAAATTCTGATACTAAACTATCCTTAATATACATGAGTTTGATTCAAACCCTCTTTTATGCATGTGCATATCAAAGCTTGAACTACTAATATAATATTGTGAGACTCTTACTTTGGATTCCAACTTTTTCTTAGTGTAGACTCCATTAGCAGCAGTACAGATGTCATTGATGAAAATAAACACATATCCTATCACATCAAAACTTAGATCATTGCTGGAAAACAACAAATACAAAAATTGACTAGATGGATGAGTCAACCACACAGTTTTGGATATAATCGAAGTGACACTGTCTTGATTTTAAGAAGTAAGCTAAAATGACTTTGACTTAGAACCAATCGATTGGTTGGACTTTTGGATACTAAATAGCCCATATTTATTTAATTGGAGGTAAAAATTGTCACTACCATGGCATATGCCTGGGGTTCTAATCTCTGCTAATCATTTCTTTGTATCCAAGAATGAGTCAGAATCATTGGGTCCAATATTATCATTGTCTTATTCTATTGAAACTTAGAAGAACAGCGATCTCAGTAGACTTTTAGATTCCGGCGGCGCGCTGGACTCTCTCATGTTCAAACCTGATAGCGCCAGTCTCTGGTGCTAAGAATGGATGCCGCTGGTCTCTTATTTTTTAAAAAAAAATTTCTTTGCCACTTTTCATCCTCTTTCACCTCAGCTTTTGAGTTAAACCTTCTCAAAACATAAGATAAAGTGTTCACTTACCATACAGATTCTAATTTTCTAAAATAAGGTCTTAAAAACAGGTGATTTTCAATTGAAATCACTGTATCATTAAGAAATTTTTTGAAGTAGTTTCCTTCATGTGGTATGAAGGGAGACATCTATTGAGGAAAATGCTAGTAATTGATTCAAATAAACATACTCCCTCCGATAAAATTAGCAATTCCCATTTTATCATGTAGATTAAGGGGGAGATGGTGCGAATGTTGAATTTTTTCCGGGTTCTAAAAATTTCCTGGTGAGAACCCTGAAGATTGTTGAAGTGTAAAAATGTATACCTTGCAGCAATCATGGCTCCAAATATCATGATGAACACAGAAAACTGCACAACACGTGGGGCTTTCACACTGGAACAAAATTAACACAACTAAAACTTTATAATGGCAACTCCGCGGAGTAGCAAATCCCAACGAACAAAATATCAATTACCGAATTCCAATCAATTATACTCATTACTTTGGTTAAAATTTAGATTTTAGAATTGCGAATTCCTGCAAAGCAGCCATTTTGAATTTTCTGAGGTACAAATCTGAAAAATAATACCATAATTGTGATCTACTCCAAAATTCCTTCAATTTGAGTATTATATAGCCATACGCTGAAGGGATCGAAAAAATTATTGCGAAATCATACATTAGACGGCCATTTAGAATTTTACGAGGCTCGAATCAGAAAAAAGATACAATATTTGGAATCTACTCTCAATTGCCTTTCATTTGAGTATAATAAAGCTATACTTCAGAAAGATCTAAAAATTATATTTTTTTTCTGTTTTCCTGATACACGGCCCCTGGGGGTCAGGATGAAAAACACGGAATATATGTGAAATAGATAGATGTTGCTACCAAAATTTCAAACAATAATATTAATTACCGTACTTTGGTTTAGAATGAAAGATTTATGATTTTTGCGAAAAAGTCCCGTCATTTTTAAAGTGGTGGCCATCTTGAAAAAATCCATTTTGAATTTTCTGAGGTACAAATCTGAAAAATAATACCATAATTGTTATATAATCCAAAATTCCTTCAATTTGAGTATTATATAGCCATACTTTGAAGGGATCGAAAAATTATTGCGAAATCATACATTAGACGGCCATTTTGAATTTTACGAGGCACGAATCAGAAAAAAGATACAATATTTGCAATCTACTCTTAATTGCCTTTCATTTGAGTATAATAAAGCTATACTTAGAGTGGAAGTCACCTAATAGAATAGAGTCCAGAGTCGAAGATATCATATAATTCATCATATTAATCGTGTTATCTTACTAAACACTCCCCAAATATGTTTTTAGGGTAACTTAATGTTTATTTTTAAATCATTTGAAGAGAAATAGAAACATCTGTTATTATAGAAAGCTTCAGATTTACCTGAAATATTAAAGATTTTGAGCAATTAAGTTGTGATCTCTAAGACAAAGTCCAATCCATCTTTCATCAATCATTATCATCATCATTCATTTCTTACTTTTTTCATAAGGATACTGAAACACTTATAAATGGCAGGACACATGCTTGAGAACCAACATACATATATTTTAATTTGCAAAGTTCAAATAAGGGAGGCCAATAATGTAATGTTTACCTAGGCCTTCATATGTTATCAAGTGTAAAATCTTATTGCAAATAAATAAAACCTTATTATATTAAACCAGCCTTATTGTGATTGGAGTTATATAACAGAAATTATTAATGTTTATCCTAGTACCCCTCATAAAATTACCCCAGGGTGATTTTAAGGTTTTCCACAAGTTAGATTTTTGATATGTTGTTTTTTTACTTACAAATGGCTATTCATAACACTAGGTTTACTCTGTATTGCAATTTTTCATTTAGTTGTGAATATTTACAACGGTTTAACTGGAGTATAATATGGAATCATCTTATGATGGTCTGATCCCATTATCTCAAGTCTATGGCACGGTCCATTATAGCCCCACTGTGGATATTGCGGTCAATTGTAACACAATCATTGATTGAAATCTAAAGCGGTTAAATAGTAATCCAAATTTAAAAAATTTAATTTTCTGTCTTAAATACATGTTATTATAAAAAAAACTAATTAAAAATGGTTTTAAAGTATTTTTTAATGACTTTATTTGGTGATTGCTTTTGACCTTTAAATTGTGTAAAAACCAAGAAGTGGTTTTTAGTGAGGAAAATACATTTTAACCCTCTTATCTAGCAAGAATTCATATAATCAATGGATATGATATGTTACATTTTACATCTGCACTCTACTAATTTTCTAAATCAATTGAGTTTGAGACCTGGATGGTGGTACCACCATTTTTTTAGATGTTCCTGTAAGGAGTGTTGAGGAATGTTTGAAAGCAGATCTGATTTCCTCTGGGCTATGCAGTAGGGAAGACTGTCAGAATCCATCAATCTTGAACTTTTTTATTATGTTTTATAGATTTGTATAATATTCTCAAATGATTGTACATGTACATGGAATCCAACAATGCTACTACTCAGTATTAACTGGACTATCAAACATTTTCATATCTTAGAAAGTATTCTTCCATTGTACTTAAAAGGAATAAATAGATATTGAAATTCAAACGTGACACAGAATTTTTTTGTAGGAACAATATGAGAAAACAAGACTAAAATCACTATTCTGAGCTCATTTTAATGAGACATACGTATAAGCCTATCTTGAAAGTCATTATGGTAAAATATCCCTGAACCATCACAAGCTACTTTGAAAATGTCATTTTTCCAATTTCCAATCATTTTTACATCTCTTTAGGAATAATAAGACAAAAAAGATGATATACACCATTTTGAGCTCATTTAAGATAAGCAAAAATTTAGATTTTTAAGAAATGTCCAATCACAATACTATGTGCACCATCTTGAGTTCATATGAGATGCATATATTACATTATCTTAAAAATTACTAAGGTAAAATATTGTTACCCCTGGCCCTTCAGTAGCGAAAATGTAAATTAAATTCTTTAAAAATTTACAATCATTTTTTACATTCAATTAGGAATGATATGACAAAACAAGATGTTATATACCATTCTGAGCTCATATGAGATGCATACATTGCATATCTTAAAAAAAATCATTAAGGTTACCCTGAGCCATAAGAGCTAAAAATTGAAATTTCAATACTTTTCATCAAAAAAAATACATGACGGTAACTTGGCTATATATTTTGTCTGTGATAAACACCCAAATCTCTATTACAATGGATTTTTTAAAGACTTCAAGTCATCAAATTCTTGAAATACAGTACTAGATGTCACATATCTGGCCCTTTAAACCATGAATTATTGCTAGATAATTTAGTAAACATGTATTTTCCCTCTAAACACCACTTTCAAAATGGGTTTTACACAATTTCAAGACTCAAAGATATCACCAAATGAAGTCATTTAAAGAAAATTACTTTAAAATCATTTTTAATTAGTGTTTATAATGTACCCCCACATGCATGATAGTTGAGGGGGTCAGGGGCTAAAAAATCCACAAAGACTATCCCAAATCACTAACACTAAAATCATTTTTCACTCAGATGAAGTGTTTCTACAAATATACCAAGTTTGTTGCTTTTCTGAAAAGATGAACTAATAAAGGGCTTATTTCTGGACATCTGACTCAATTGTAAGATTAACAGATTCTAAAACTAATTAAATAGCAATTTAATTGTATTTAAGACATAAAATTAAATTTTCAAAATTTGGATTACAATTAACCGCTTTAGGTTACAATTAGTGATTGGGTTACAATTGGCCGCAATATCCACAGTCGAGTTACAATTAGCCGCATTGCGGCCAATTGTAACCGACAGGGTTACAATTAGCCGCAGTCTCGGGACCCCCATACACGGCCCCTGGGGGTCAGGATGAAAAACACGGAATATATGTGAAATAGATAGATGTTGCGAATATACTACCAAAATTTCAAACAATAATATTAATTACTTTGGTTTAGAATGAAAAATTTATGATTTTTGCGAAAAAGTCCCGTCATTTTTAAAGCGGCGGCCATCTTGAAATATTTTTTTTGCGTAAAACTATTCACTTATACACATCTTTCCGCTAAATATGAAGAAAATCCGTCTACTAGTATTTGAGTTATCTTCCGGACGGACAGACGGACGGACGGACTGACGGACGGACTGATGGACTGATGGACTGACGGACGGAGGGCTTCACTATATCCCTACCGAACTTCGTTCGTTGGGATAACTAAAGTACCGGTATAATACTCAATGAAATAAATTCAGTCTAATACTTTTGTTTGCAAAATTAATAGGTTCAGTTCTGCCTTGAACTCATAACAGCCATAAATTAGATACCAATGTTCAGAGGAACCCTTGTTTCACTTTTCGTGAATGATCTATCCAGTAGTCCAACAATCAGAAAAGAACCTTACCCTAAAATCCAATATTCTGCTATCATTGTGAAGAGTATAGAAAACCTCCTAAGCACTGTGAACATTGGCAGACTGAAACAAACAAAGAGCATGAGAAAACAATTCCATATACACATTTTTCTTTATAATACAAACTTGACAACAGCAACGCCAAAGTGTACCAAATCCCATCGAACAGCCATGGCTGGCATTTTACAAACAAAGTATATAGCAATTTTTCAAAATGGCCACCTACTACCCAAAGTGTCATTAGTAGAGAAGGGTCGGTTACGGTTCGGTTCGATTAACCGCGGTTTTTGGCCTCACGGTTCTACTGGGACCGTCTGATCACCAAGAACCGAGTCCAGAACGGTTCCATCATTCCCCAGGGAAATACTTTATTTTCGTGCAGTGTAACATGAATACCAATTTTTTGCGCAAATAATTACAGCTCTATTTCATCTAAATAGCGAATGAAAGTACCATTTAAACGACAATTGAACAACTTTAAACAATCCATACGGTAATAAAATCGTCTCCTTGGATATTTCTCGAGGGAACATAATTCTACTTGCGAGCGTGAATTTATTTCGCGCGGAAACACTTGTGTTTTAAAAATGGCGGACAGTTTTCGAAGTCTTAGGCAAAGAGCTTGTAAAACCATAATAGAGCCTTTCCCCGCGATGCCTAAGTTGGATGCTTGGAAGTATTCGGTTTCTACGATGAGAATACGTCTACCCTATGTCGGTTGTGCAACACGACATTGAAATACGCTGCAGGTTTCCAATTTTTGTGATAGAAACTTTTTGTAAATTTTTTTTAATTTTAAAAATTAAGACCGCGATCTTTATTAGACTTCAATTCATTCCCTATCTTGTAACTGCCTTCTATTACCCACTCATAGTAACATTTTTTATGACTCATATATACACTTTTTCATGTGTCCTACCTCAGGTCCCAAGTCAGGTTGAGAATTTGGGTAAACACCCCCTAGCCCACTGCACTGATATTCCCAACTGAAGGACATCTGTGCTATCCATATAATTTTAGTTTTCAGGAAACACACTGTCTGCCGTGAGGAAACATATTGAAAGGTCTTACCCAACCAGACCCAGTTTAAAAAGGAATCCCTCCCATCTAATACGGGGCTAGCAACTTGTTGATAGCCACATACAAATAGTTCAATTCTAGTTATTTAATTCCATAAATATTCAATGATTATCAGCTATCATCATTCCATATTGATCATTTATAAGATTGAAAATAAAATTATATCCCCTAATAATACAAAATAAAAGTGAAACACCTTTTATGTTGCCATATTTGTGGCACCAATTGAAATTTATGAGGCCCACCTTATTAAGTACATATATGATTGAAGAACCGACCGAACCGAGGGACAAGAACCGAGAATCGTACCGAACCGAACCGTGACCTACCCTTCTCTAGTCATTAGACAGTGTGCCATGCTCATAGGATTCCCATATCAAATATGAACAAAATTGCTCGATTACTTTATGAGTTTTAGTACCATTTGCATTCGTTTGTCTTTACTTCTGAAAAGAGAGCTTCGTCTTCACTTTTTCAAAATAAAATAAACCTGTGAGCTCACCGCGCCAATCAGTGTTCGTCGGCCAAATTTGACCGACGTTCTATTTATGGTCATTCCTTCTGACGTCATCGTTGAGCCCGGAATTGACCAATGACATGCGCATATTTAATTAGAACGCATTTGGAGTATGTTTCGTCAATCTCGCTGATTGGTGGAAGAAAGGTCAGCGCGTAGATCAGAGATTACCCAAACTGTCACTGGTACCCGTCTGAAGGGCGGGGCTACTAAACTGTAATATGGTCTTTTCTAGGCAGAGTGTAGTTTAACTAGACTCTGCACGCAGGGTAGAGTTATAGCAAAAGCTGTTAAATAACACATCTTAACACGTACCCTTTGCATTCATTTGACTTTGCTTCTCAAAAAAGAGCTTCGTCTTTAAGTTTTCAATGAATCTCTGAACTCACGCGCCAATCAGAGTTCGTCGGCGAAATAAGGGCAACAGTCATTTTCTCTGACGTAATTGCATAGTAGCACAGGTTCCTTCCAGCTCGCTGATTGATTCAGAATATGTCAGTGCGCTAGGTATGAAATGATTTATGACCCGAGCCATCATGGGCATCGGTCGTGGGGGCGGGGCTGCTAAACTGTAATAAAGTCAATACTAGGCTAAGGATAGTTTATAACCAGAACAACGGCAACGCCAAAGCGTAGCGAATCCCATCGAACATTTTTCAAAACGGGCACCTTCTACCAAAAGTGTCATTAGACAGTGTGCCATGCTTATAATATTCACATACCAAATATGAACAAAATCGCTCCACTACTTTTCGAGTTATAGTAAAATACGTTAAAATGGCGGCCATTTTTCAAAATGGCCGCCTTCTACCAAAAGTGTCATTAGACAGTGTGCCATGCTTATACGTATTCACATACCAAATATGAACAAAATCGCTCCACTACTTTTCGAGTTATAGTAAAATAAGTTAAAATGGCAGCCATTTTTCAAAAATCCCTTCAAACAAAAGTGTCATTAGACAGTGTGCCATGCTTACAGTATTCACATACCGAATATGAACAAAATCGCTCCACTACTTTTCGAGTTATAGTAAAATACATTAAAATGGCGGCCATTTTGAAAAATGACCGCCCTCTACCAAAAGTGTCATTAGACAGTGTGCCATGCTTATACGTATTCAAATACCAAATATGAACAAAATCGCTCCACTACTTTTCGAGTTTTAGTAAAATAAGTTAAAATGGCGGCCATTTTTCAAAATGTCAGCCATTTTTCAAAATGGCCACCTTCTACAAAAGTGTCATGAGACAGTGTGCCATGCTTATAGTATTCACATACCAAATATGAACAAAATCGCTCCAATACTTTTCGAGTTACAGCAAAAATCGTAAAATAACAAGCAAAGGCCGCCATTTTTCAAGATGGCTGCCATGTGCTTTTTTAATATCTACATTTCTAGCTTTATTAATGTCCTATATAATTTTTTTACATTTAAAACATATTGCTATTACAGTTTTACATATTGCACCTAAATTACTGTAAAATCGGCACTAAAATGGCCGCCATTTTTAAATGAGCGGCCATTTTGAAAATCGGCTTTCGAGCAGAACTTCTACTCCCATAGGGTATATGTGTACAAAATATGAATAAAATCAGGCCAACGGTATTTGAGTTATTGCCCGGACGACGGACGTACGTACGTACGGACGGACGGACGGACGTACGTACGTACGTACGGACGGACGGACAGACGGAGGCGTTCCCTATATCCCTCCGAACTTCGTTCGATGGGATAACTAGACTCTGCACGCAGGGTGGTTTACATGGCAGCCATTTTTCAAAATGGTCATCTTCTACCAAAAGTGTCATTAGACCGTGTGACATGCTCATAGTATTCACATACTACTTTTCACTTTACACAAAAACATATTGCTTATACGGATTAAGCACTAAAATGGCCACCATTTTTAAACAAGTGGCCATTTTGAAATCGGCTTTCGAGTAGAACTTCTACCCACATCGAGTATACAGTATGTGCACGAAATATGAACAAAATCGGGCCAACGGTATTTGAGTTATTGCCTGGATGGACCGACGGACATACCAATGTACGTATGGATGGAGGCGTTCCCTATAAACTTAAACTTTGTTCGATGGGATAATAAAATTGAACATACAATAAAATGGAACCATGGATACTGGGCTCACATGGCATTGCTGAAAAAATGAAAAATGAATGACCAGTTCGCAAAATTCGTAAAATAGCATGTAATGGCCAGCCAGGCCCCAGGATATAGGCCATCCGATTAAACCTTGATTTAAAATGCACATTTGTCTAAAGACGCCTTATATTTGACTTGACTTAAAAAATGAAAATGTTCATACTTGAGACGCTGTGTTCCTCCTAAACCAAGTACTGTATTTCCTAAGTATATCAGAGGTAGTGGCATCACCTGAAAACAGATAACATTACACATTATACAATACACGAGAACTTGCTTCTTGTTTCATATCAATTCATTGGATGTCGGCTTCCGGGAACAAAGTCAGTGCCGTCACAATAAACCATTTCATGATTATCGACAGTTTCGAAAAATATTTGTGAAAATACTTTGCAGTTTGTTATAAGGACAAATAAAGCTGAAATTATTTTTTCAAAATCTGACCCTGTATATTTCAAAGTGGAATATCCCAGATATAAAAGGTAAAAATATTGTTGTCATTCTAAGCTACACCCTTATAAAAAATTCAACCTTGAAAGTCCGAATTTAAACCGTTTCCATCAATCATTGAATACTGATTGTTTCAACTACTAAGATCAAAGGAAAAACCATTGTACAATGATAAGCAATCATTGTGCAATCATTGCGTTCAACCAAGCAAAGTCAACTCTTTTTCAACGACTGCGCAACTGTTTCTTTACAATCATTGTAATCTGCAACCATTGCAAACTGCAACCATTTCACATTGAAATGTAAATGGTTGCAATATGTTTTGTTCAATGATTGCATAGTTCAACCCCTGCAACCATCCTGAATTAGTATCGTTCCAAAAAATTATCATTTTACCTGAATTAAAATTATCTTTAAGTATTGATTTGAATCTACCTCTATTCAACAACAGTATATTAAGATATTTTTTCTGCAAACATACTTGCATGTTTATTATAGTAAATTACTAAATTTAGTTTAGTTCTCTGTCATTTACATTATTTACACAATTAAAATTACCATATCTAGTGTTCATCAAACTTCTATAAGTGTTCATAAAAGTGACATTTCTGGCAATGTTCATTATTATACTATTGCCAGCATTCATTATAATATTGGCAGTATTCAATAAACTATTGCCAGTATTCATTACTTTATTGCCAGTATTCAATGAACTAATTGTTAGTATTCATAATAGTATTCAATAACTTTTTCCAGTATTCATTAAACTATTGACAGTATTCATTAAGCTTTTGGCAGTATTCAGTTAACTATTGGCAAAATTCAACACAATATTGGCATGTTCATCAGCCATTCTCCTAAGCAGGTATCCAGAATCCGTACCTCCTTCCCCCTGCTATAACCAATTTGGAAGCGCCCGATTAAACTGAATCAGGTGATCTTAGTGATTTCTGTCCCTAATTAATATATAATGGGGTATGTTTATAAAAAAAATCTCATATTTCTATTAAAAAAATCTATTATAGAATAAAATGCCTTTCAAAAAATAATAGATTATCCATATTATTTTAACATACAGATTTGAAAACTTTGTATACAGAATTTATATTTTTATAGTAATATGCTTTCTATATAGTAGCTATGAGACATTATGCCCAGTCTGTAAGAGGTTTTTATTTCCCTTTATCTGATATGGCCAAAATGATGCATCTTTAATGTTAATTATGAAAAGAATTGAGCAAATCTCCAAATATTTAGTGAGAATGTTTTTCAAATGTATCTATATTATGTGTAGTTAACACCCCATATCAAGAGTATAACTCACTAAATTTAAAAAATACAAACAAGATAACTAATTTGATATTGACTGTATATTATGTGTGAAACACATTATTCACAACAGATTTAATTACCATGTTCTTTCTTGGCAAATATTTTTTATGATATTGCTCAACACAACAATACCTACTACATATTGAAATGGGTATAGGCAAATCAAAATGCTTGAACAGCCAATTAAAACGGTTGAACAGCTAATTAAAACGGTTGAACAGCTAATTAAAACGGTTGAACAGCTAATCAAAATGCTTGACCAGAAATAGGGTTCATAGTCCTAGTTTCTGTTATATTTATTTTCAGCTTGTGTTATACTATATATTTATTTATATTCTCTATTTTATGCAGAAGGGGGGGGGGGGCTTAGAAATTTAAAAAGTGTTTTCAGATTTTTGAGGGTTTGTTTCTTTATTCAATTGCTTCAATAAGTGCTAAGAAATCTCAAATAGCAAGTATATGAAACTGAAAATAATATTTTCAGAATTTTTGTACTTCATTTTATTCATGGATTTATGGATTAAGTTATTGTTCTTTGGCAAATTATAATTTATCAAGTTCTGTGTAAGGAATAATTAAATTACATAAGATGCTTCCTTTATAGCAGACTAATCAAACTGAGAGTTTTTCTGTAATAAGGTTTGTTTTGCCTTGCCAAATTATTTTTGTTTTGTTTATGGATTAATGGATTAATAAAGTTTCTTTAGACACTTCCTTCAAAGCAGACTCTAATCAAACTAGAGAGACTGAGTCTTACTGTAATCAGAGTTTTTAAAGTTATGCTTATCAACTTAATTATTTAAAACACATCCTGTAATGTCTGATTGCATTTTCAAATCAATAATCAGATTATTTTCTGATTGAAGGATTTCTTCCTTCTAGACACATTTTCCTTCCTTTAAAATTGTGATAGTTACAAGATGAAGTATAAGTGTTTGAATTTGTAAAATTCAAGACTTGACCCAATCAAAATTATTTCAAATGTTTTTGCAATAACTTAAAAAGTAGTGAAGGGATTTTGTAAAAATGATAGTCATGTCAGCAAGGGAAGTTGCTATGCCTTAGCATTGCTGTTATCTAGATAATATACATGTGAGTGAGACAATCACCATCCTTCAATGTTAGATGGAAATTGGTTCAATATATTTTCATTCATAAGACAAGTTTACTAAACTATTTCAATACTTTAAATATCTTTTTGATCAAATTTCAAATTTTAAATTCTGACATGTATGCATGAAATACATACATTTAAAAATATATTTTAAGGAGCAACATAATTATTTTGTGTTGTATTGAGATAATATTGCCATAGTTTTAAAGGGTTGCATTTGATTGAAACGGTTGCAAGAAATGCAATCAAAATTGTCAAGCGTTTACAATGGTTACATATGATTGAAATATTTTCAATGAGTTTACAACCAAAATTGTAATGGTTGCATTGTAACCGTTGGCATGGTTGCATAAATGATTGGATCAGTGATTGTGCAATGATTGTCCGATGGTTTAAATTCAGACTTTCAAGGTTGAATTTTTTATAAGGGACGATTGTATTGCGTATTCCTAGTAGTCTATTGGTCCAAGTTCGAGAAAATCTCCACTGTACTTGAATTCTTTAAGAATATTCGGGTCCAGTTTTGTTTTCTTGGCATGTCTGGATTTTCATATTCTTTCAGATATTCATCTACATTTATTTTCTGGAATCTTTGATTATTAACATGGATAAATATGCTCCTTCACTTGTTAAAAGTATAATCAATTATATTTAGCATTTTCCTTCAATACATTGAAAAAACAAGATTATAACTCAAGTACAGTAAATGACCAAAATGTTTTAATATTTTATATCTGCTTCTCATTTTCAGAATGCCAAAACATTAGTCAGCTCTAGGCCGACAATATGGCCCCACACGATGTGGCAGGGACATAAAAATAAAAATCATGTTCCAAGGAGCGAGATGGATATATGATATTTGCCCGCAATCGGACTAAAGGGGCACATATACAATATATCCTGCCCCTTTCTAAGATATAATATATATTCCCGGGTGTTATCTACCCTAAACCCACCAAATTGTGAGATACATAGAGATTATCCTATATGAGGTTCAGGATATTGGATGATCTGTTTATCCCATACCATCTTGGTCATTTTGTTCCACTTTGTGGAATTATTTTAGAATATTCATGTCCAGTTTTGTTTTCTTGGCCATTGCCTGATTTTCCTGTTCTTTAAATCTTTGATTAGTAACAGGGCATACAGCTCCTTCCCTTTTTAAAGCATCAAAAAGATGTGATTGCCTGCGAACGTTGAACCAATATGCGAATGGCGATTATGACGTAGCGAGCAGATATACTATATCTGCCCACTCAGAGCGGAACATATATAGGGGTTATGCACTGGGAGGTTTTGGATACAGGGAATATCCCAAGGGATATACAATATATCTTCCCGAGGGACCGAGGGAAGATATACCAGAACAACGGCAACGCCAAAGCGTAGCGAATCCCATCGAACAGAAATGGCTGGCATTTTTACAAACGAATAGCAAATATCATAAAACAACACACCAGAAAGGTCACCATTTTCAAAATGGTTGCTCATTAGCCAAGTTGTCATCAGAAGAAATAATATGCTTTTCAGTAGCCACCTCTAAAATTTTTGAAAAATCGCACACATATTTGTAAAATAACACACATAAAAATGGTGGCCATTTTTCAAAATGGCCGACTACTCCCCAAAGTTTTATTAGACAATGTGCCATGCTTAAAGCATTCACATATCAAATATGAACAAAATCGCTCCACTACTTTTCGAGTTATAGTAAAATACAGTAAAATGGCGGCCATTTTTCAAAAGATTTTCAAAATGGCCGCCTTCTACCAAAAGTGTCATAGGACAGTGTGCCATACTTATAGTATTCACATACCAAATATGAACAAAATCGCTCCACTACTTTTCGAGTTATAGTAAAATACGTTAAAATGGTGGCCATTTTTCAATTTTTTTTCAAATGGCCACCTTCTACCAAAAGTGTCTTTAGACAGTGTACAATGCTTATAGTATTCACATACCAAATATGAACAAAATCGCTCCACTATTTTTTGAGTTATAGCAAAAATTGTAAAATGACGAGTAAAGGCCGCCATTTTTCAAGATGGCTGCCATGTGCTTCTTTAATATCTACATTTGTAGCATTATTAATGTCCTTTATAATTTTTTTACATTTAAAACATATTGATATAACAGTTTTACATATTGCGCCTAAATTACTGTAAAATCGGCACTAAAATGGCCGCCATTTTGAAATGAGTGGCCATTTTGAAAATCGGCTTTCGAGCAGAACTTCTACCCCCATAAGGTATATGTGTACAAAATATGAACAAAATCGGGCCAACGGTATTTGAGTTATTGCCCGGACGGACGGACGGACAGACGGACGGACGGA